AGCTGAAGTGTGTTTGTTTACCTACAGAAACAGCTGAAATGTGTTTGTTTACCTACAGAAACAGCTGAAGTGTGTTTGTTTACCCTGTTTGTGGTCTCTAAGCCACAGTAATCCCTGTAAATCTGAATCTATCAGGGGTTTTTGATGTGGAACCTGAACTGGACTTCCTGTTTATCACTCAGAGTTAATCACCGTGGAGACAGACGTTACTGACCGGAGGAAGAGTGGACGCAGCGCTGCAGCGGGGACAGTAGCGGGTCCAGCAGGTACTGCCGGGCCAAGCCGGGCCTCTCCTGCACCATGGAGAGCACCGCCCTGGTGGCCACCTGCTGGAACTGCTGAGCTGTGAGTTTGTCCTGCAGGTGCAGGAGGTGCAGGACCTGGAGGAGAAGGGTCAGATGTAAACAGTTGTCAGACAGGAGGGACTGTCCGTCCACACGTCCTGAGAATGGACACACACTGACCTGAGGACAGACCAGTTTAAAGTACTGGTCACCAGAAGCAGCCTGCTGGGGGCAGGCTGACAGGATCCTCCCCACAGCCTCACACTTCCTCCAGTCTGAGTCGCCCCCTGCAGGACACGAACAGAACTTCAGCCTGAGCCTCTCAGCTCTGATTAGATCGTTTTTAACGACTGAAACAAGCTTAAAGGTTTGTTTGAAGCTTCTTTTTATGCTTTCATGATGTTCAGCAGAGAGAAGTCCAGTCCTCCTCACCTGCCCCTCCCTCCAGGACGGCCCTGACCACCGCCTGCACGCCGTTCGGCTGCATCAGGCACTCCGACAGCAGCTGACCGCACAGACGTCTGAGCCAGGCCGGAGCCGGTCCCAGACCTGCTCTGCTGCTGGAACCACGTGGACCGGACTTTAAAAGACCAGAGGAGAAGTTCTGATCAGTTATGGTCTGAAACGGTCCTCCTGGTTCTGGCATTAAACAGCTCCACACATTAAGTCCAACCTGCTGCACCTGTTTGGGTCCACCCTGGAGGATCAGCAGCTCCTTGATGACCATTGGTTGGTAGACCTTTCCCAGCAGGTTCCTGAGGGCGTCCTTACACGCCCGACTCTCTTCAGAACTGAGCTGCACGCAGGACAAACAGCTGATTTATTTTATGTGACCCATCATAGTGAAATGATCTAACTACGTTTTCAGATTCCTGCTTTAAAAACTACATTTTGACACCTGGATCATCCTGATATCATAAACTTATCCAGAGATATGATTTAATTTGTCTTGTTGGTTCTGATAACACATTACTGTTTGGTCTGAATCCTAATTTTATGTAAATTTATTGAGTCATTTTTATGTCAATATAAAGAGGAAACATCAAATATTATTTGTAGATTTCCCAGTTGGAAAGAAATAAAAACATTGCTAACTCACAGGGAAAAAAATCTTAATTTTAAGGTGTTTTTCCTCAAAATCAGTATTTTTGATGCTCAAAAAATGCTTCAAAATATTTTTTAAGATTATATTTCAGACAGTTCATTCAAATGATACATTAAAGCAGAGATTCTTAACCAATGAGCGCCACCTTGAGGGCCTCAGAAGAACAACAGTTTTTAACTTTGGGCCGCAGAGGGCCGTGGGACCACATTGATTTTAAATAAGGTGTAATACACTTTCT